TTCACAAAGATAGCATTGCTTGTAATTTGTTACAAAAATTAAAGCATGAAGACAAATTATGTAGTTAGACAGCTACACTATCGCATTAGGTAATCCTGTAATGATAGTTGTAAGTTTCAGAAATAAATAAATAAAATAAATAGAAATTGATTGCGATTCAGATGCAATTCAGAGCGCAGGCGATAGTGAGACACGCTCTGGTTATTCTGACGTACTGAATTCAAGTTTTGTGTTGTTTAGATCATCCAGTCTGTATCTCGCCGGCTTTTGTATGGACCCATTATACGAAACGAACCACAATTTATATTTGCGGCAATGTTCTCTAGGTAGGTTTTTTTTCGTTATTAATCATAGAACCAACAGGGCTTTATAATTATTAAAAGCACAGAAATATGCGTGCACGGTGCTATAGATCATACTAAAGACCTTGTTTCCTAGATATTGTAATTATAACCAGTACTTGACTACTACCCTCCCTATAATAATATCCATTAAAGACATATGACTGTAAGGAAAAAATAATGCAGTGGCTTAAGACACCTAATTACGATCAAACTGAAGCTTTATTACAATTTATCTTATAACACATTCACTCATTGTCCTTTTTTCACACGTACACACAAGCACACATGCACACACGTACAACACACACACAAGCGCGCGCGGCCGCTACAAAAGGGGGGGAGATGTCTTCCGTTTTTTTAATTTAATTCTATACAAATAAATAAAATTGAAGTCACTGTTTGTAATGTCAAAATAACAGCTTTTTACTAATTGTTGCATATAAAGTATATACGGTACCTATAACATAAACACAATTTTTAAAAATTTTTTGTCTGTCTGTTTGTTCCGGCTAATCTCCGAAACGGCTGGACCGATTTTAACGGGACTTTCACTGGTAGATGGCTTATGTTATAAGGAGTAACTTAGGCTACTTACATTTTTGAAAAATAATTAGGGTTCCGCGCAACAAAATTAAAACTCTAAATTACACGCGGGCGAAGTGGCGAGGAACAGCTAGTTATAGATATAATTAATCGAATTATGGGCGGTTATTCTCTACAGCTCGTTGTGAACCAAGGAGTCAAGCTTTGTTATTAAGTAGTGAACTGATATAATTATTGTCAAATGTTGGTTGTTTGATAACTCGGTAGTCCATCATCGTTTACAGTTCTGACATTATACCAATGCAGTATTAGTTGTGCCTCACTACAACGTCTAATGGCTATGCCGAAAAGCGATTATTGCAAATAAAATTGCTACCATTTAAAGATTCAAACTAGTAATTTAAAAAGAGTACTGCAGGAAAATAACACGTTGAACTAGTTACATGTAGGCTATCAAAACGTCGGCAAGTAGTCAACATCAAAGGAGTGCAACTTTTGTACGTAATACTATTATTTATTCTGTGCTATTAGTCAGTAGTCACAGATGTCAGAGGAACTCATATAAGCTTTTCGATTATGTAAAGGGACCGAGACTTAGTTTTAACTTAAGCTTTGGTGAAACACACAATAGTTACAGGAGTAAGGAAGATCCAAAATGTTGCCAGGATCCATACAATTTCGTTTGACCCTCATTTTTAATGCAAAAGCTAGTTTTGCTTTTACTTAACAAAGACCAAACAATAGTGAAAGGACACTTTGAAAAGTCGTGTTTTTCTAGTGGCCGGCCAGAGTTATGTGCACTGCATGTTTGCGTGTGCCCAATGACCAATATCTTGACGTCTTTGCGTCGGATGGACTGGCTATGTTGTTTGTGAATCTGGGTATATCTAGTTTACAGTCAAAACCCATGAAAGTAATATATATTGTTATTATTGTTGTATATTAAAAATTACACAAACATAATGATTAATGACACTTCAAAATATAGAATATTTAGTGAAAATTTGCCGATATATTTATTCAAATAAATAAAATTTAAGTGTCTGTTTGTAATGTCAAAATAATAACTTTTTACTAAATGCATATGAAAGTATATACGGTACTTATAACAAAAAACAATTTTTAAAATTTTTGTCTGTCTGTTCCGGCTAATCTCCGAAACAGCTGGACTGATTTTGAAGAGACTTTCACTGGTAGATACTGTTATAAGGAGTAACTTAATCTTAAGTAAGTTTAGAAAAAGAATTAGGATTCCGCGAAAAAAGTTAAAACGCATTAAATCCAATCGTAATACATTCCACGCGGGTAAAGTCGCGGGGAACAGCTAGTCAGATTATAATTTAAAATAAAGAATAGTAGGTATTGTGTTGTGGCTTGTCGATAGTCCGAAGTAAACGATCGTCGAGATCGATTAAGTTATGAGAGTTCAACAGTCTTATTATGAGTTAATGGCATTTAATCGTTAGCGGCTTCATTCATGCTTCGAGACATTTCATAATGGATACTTGTTGACGTGAAATTGGCATAATTATTATAAGATAACCTAAATAAGAATAATTGATAGACAAGTATCACACATTGATGACATGTGACATTTAAAATTGACCGCTTAGTTGCAAACCACTTCCCCATAACGTCCCTTGGTGTCGTAAGAGGCGACTGAGGGAAACAAAACAGAAGCTGGGCAGCAGCGTCTTTCTAATAACTAAAAAGAATAAAACTGCGGTTGCAAACCCGCATACCAAGGGTGGGAACTATATCGAATATCCTACCTACGAGACAACCTATGGGAACGCCTACATCCAGCAGTGATTTTTGAGCAAGGATGGCTACATACCTTAGTAGTTTGTGTCTGACTGCAGAGTAGCAGCGGGGGGTCTTGGAATCGTTTGAAATGAAGAATAATTTAATACTTAGTTTCATCATAACAACCAAATATTTTGTGCAAAAATTATTTAAAATTATAATTTTGTACAACAGACTTCAATATAAATTATTAAGAATTACTCAAAAACTAAATGGTCAGACCTTGATCAAATTTACATGGGACCACATGAGAAGCACCAGCCTTCAAATAAAAAAGAATATATATAATACACATAAAAAAATATACGGTCGAATTGAGTACCTCCTCCTTTTTGAAGTCGGTAGATAACTGTGCTAATAGAGGCTTAGAGCCTACTACTACCTCTACATATTAGCCTCCGATCTTATCTCATGAACTTTATATTGGATACGGGTTGACTAGGACGTATGAAGTCCGCGATGGAAATCAGTCAACAGACAAGTGGTCAAATCAAAAATTTTGTACAACCGACTTCAATAGAAATAATTTAAAATTAAAAAATTTGTACAGTCGTCTTCAATACAAATTATATAAAATTTAAAATTTTGTACAGCCGACTTCAATATAAATAAAATGAGAACATCATCATTATTAAGGATAACTCAAAAACTACTGGTCAGGTTTTAATCAAATTTAAGTGGGACAACATGAGAAGCACCAGCTATTAATAATAAAAGAGTCAACAATATCGGTTCACCCAGAAAAAAGTTCTGAGGTTACATCCAAAAAAAAATAGTCGATTGAATAACTCCTCCTTTTTTGAAGTCGATTAAAAATAAATAAAACTTTCTATTAAGGTTTTAAAAGTTATCTACTGCTAAGAGTGCAGTTATCACCTCAAACTGTTTTTGCGCTTGTAGCATCATATTTAACTAGTGTGAGTGGTTGGTACGCTAAATTTTATCGTGTTTATATTAATGACGTGATTGGTTGAGGAAGTACAGAAATCACTGTCACTAAAGGTAACATAGTTACTGTCGGCTGTCAGGCGACCGAATGAACGAAACTCCTGGACATGAGTAAAAATACAAGAGATTTAATTCACGCTGGAATTATCACGAAATTATCTTATTGTGTGTTTAAATACAAACAACATCGTTAAACGAAACATGGTTTATTGTAAGATACAATTTATAACAATCAATGAGAAAACAGTCCAGTGAAAGTGTCTTTGAAGATCAGAACAGACTAACAAAATTGCGACAAGGCAGTAGCATAGGCTATTAAAAATCCCGAGATTAGCTCTAAAACGAATCATGACTGCACTATTGTGAACAATGAATAGGCGTTTCTCCATTGACTGCCACTGGTACGGTACGATACCTGTGATTTATTTGGTTGTACATTGCCCGACGTAATAACCATCCCTGTTCGATATTGGGGAACAATGTATAAGCAACCAACTTAAAAGGAAGTCAAAAACCATGTAAAATGCCGCCTAGTGATCCTAGATATGTACATATGTCAGTCTGTTCCATTCTGCTCCATTGATAATGATGATGACCTTAAAATACTCTATATGTCAAAAATATCTATTACTTACCAATAATGCAACATAAGGCCCTTAGAGTAAAATCATATTACTGTGGATTATTCTTTTGCTTAACAGTCAGGATAAAATAGATTATTATTGAGCATCTGTTATACTCAATTAAATCTTACATTTTTATGACACAAAAGAAATTTAAGACAATATTGTTGTTGTGACATATTAAAGAGGAAGATATTATAAACAGTAACTTGTCGTAAACAGGCTGTGCACAATTTCAAACGCATCACACCACTCCCTACCTTCCCACTTCAGTTCTTTTTTCTCTCTTTATTTTCGCAATAGTTGCTCTCTGCTATAAAAGTTTGGCTTCTCCAATGGATGAGGTCATTCTATAAGTCATTCAATGTGCTTTCTTGTTTTATCGTGATTCTGTTCTTGTAATGCTGACCAGTGTTACATTGTAATAAGCAGTATTGGAAATTTAATCTGTTTTGGTGTTATTGCATATGTTTTGATAACATGTAATAATGTATGTCATGTTACACTATATGTGTGATCTTGACCGGCATATATAGAAGAGTTGTATTTACACTGAACTGAATGTGTAGTATCATGCACTGTTTCATTGCTAATAATCATAAATTGCATAAGCAATGGAGCAAGTTGAACATTTGCTCTCACACTTTAAATGATGTTTAATAAATATATAAATTATTAATAACTATCATTTCCAATAGTATTTGTGTATACAATAATAAAGTAATAAAATACTTACGTGAAAAAGCAGTAGTAATGTCGAAGAAATCCGTACCAAAATAAGTTATTTCAGGCAAGTTAGGTTCAATGTGCTCTTTAAAATATTCCATAGCCATTGTAGTCAAATCAAACAACTCATCTGTTACTTTATAAGGTCTGGCCAACTTTGTGGTAGTTTTCAAATATGATAAAATACTGTACACTTCATCCAATATCTAAAATGATAAAAAGTAATAACAATTTTAACTAATGTGTTAAAGTTATAGACCAGCTTTAATAGTTTAGTAATCGCTCAGTCCACTGACTAAACTGACTGCAGTAATGCAAGTTTAGAATAACTCCTTCTAATTTTAAAACAAAAATGGCTCCGTCATTTAATGAGGATTGCTTAGTGTATGGAAGAAGGTTCCTCTGTACCACTAAACATTCCTAGTGGACGTAAGAGCGGTTTTTCATTGGCCAATACCTAATATCAATATTATTGTTACCAACACTTTTTCATTAAACAACATGGTATTGATATGGTTTTATGTGTGGTATAATTATGGTCATAACACAGAACTTTCTTGCCTAGACTAGGCTAGCATATTGTACTTATTCAAAATAACCTACAACAATTTATAATTAAATATTTATTAACCATAAAGGTATTATTATTTATAAACAAACTGCAAATATTACTACGTATTATATAAGTTTAGTTTAATTAATATAAACAGACAGCATGCATGTTGTTCACTACAATCTTAAAATACAATGGAATACATTCAATTCAGAAGAATACTTATTGAAAATCATTTACGCTTTTACCACTGGTTTGGAATATCCTTTGTTCAAGGAATAAATAGCAAGAAACCCAGCAGACTTTTTAAAACATTAATTTATAACATTTAGAAACCATATGGTAACAATCACCTCATTCTCAGAGATTATTATGAATCATGTACTTGTTGCTATAATAACTAGTGTCCGACCGAAACAGGATTTTCAACCGAAACAGAAAACGAACCTTCCGTCTGGGTATCAGTTTCGAAACCGAAACTTATTTAGACATGTCAATTCTTTTTTGTTGTATACTGAAATCTGGTATATTTTTATACATATACAGACAGGTAAAGCATGTTAATGAGAAACAGTTATTGTAATAGTCATGTAGCAATATATTTATTTAAAGTAAAAATCAACAATTTAACTTTAAGAAATACTTTTGTAAGTCAATTTTGTAGAAAAATCAACACTTAAAAAAAATCAACGCATAAAAAGTTTATCGCTAATTGAGAACATATTTTTTTTTATATTCTACTAAGCCAGCGCTTATCTACGATCCCACTTGATGGTAAGTGGTGATGTAGCCTAAGATTGTGAAGCGCACTGACTTAACAAAAGCCTATTCACTCTTGCTTTGAAGACACTGTAATCGGATGGAAAGACAGATGCTGGCAACTTACTCCACTCCTTTGGTGTACGCATGATGAACGACGTGGCGAACCGTTTGGTTCGAATGCGTGGTAAGTCAACAACGAAAGGGTGGAGACTGGCCGAACGTCTGGTTGTCCGATGGTGGCAGGGAGAGGGGGAAATTAAATTATGCAATTCCGGAGGCACACTCTCTGAAATACATCCTGTAGAAAACCGAAAGGCTGGCTACTTTACGTCTATGTTCGAGGCTGGTAAGATTGGTTTTAACCAAATTCGGGTCACCAATAAGCCGCTTAGCACGCCTATCCATTGAGTCCAAAGCTGCTAGGTGGCATTTTGCAGCACCAGCCCATATATTGTGTTCACAATATTGTTAATATTATTCAATGAGAGCATTAACTTAATATATCACACAACACACACACACACAATTTAACAAAATCCCTGAAAATATACAAAACCTGCTCAAAGTTCAAAAACTTTAATAAACTAAGTTTGTATAAAAAGGGTTAATATTATACTAAAGAATTTATGGATGATAATAACCCCTGGGAATGAGGTGATCACTACAAAGCTATTTCTAATTTGTTTTGTGTTGTTAATTGCGTTACATAGATGATTGTAAGAGTGGCGTAGCTAGGCATGGGCGAAGTGACCCCTCGCCCACGGCCTCGCACTTAAAAAGGCCTTGCGGCCTTTTTAAGTGCGGCCCCCTATAATGCGATGCCCCCAGACTTTACCACAGATGACTAATTAATTTGATCACTTTTACGCTCGAAAAAGAAAGTCACAAATTAAAGTGTGTTTGTTTGGGGCCTCGCAAAAAGCCCCTCTTAAATGCGACTCCGAGGCCGTTGTAACTTCCTTCAAAAACCGCGATTGTTACATTGACGGAATACGAGACTTGTCAGGAATTAATAGATAGGTACGAGGGTGACCCTGAGTTCTTAGAAAATCAAAAACTGAACAAACCAGCAAGTTATTAGTTTTATTATATCTTTTCAAAATAGTGTCCATTTACATCAATACTACTAAACTTTTTCCACTAGTCGTTAGGGGTCTCTTAACGGCATTTTGAAACACAGCCACTGCTTGCCTCGGCGTCCATAAAACGTTTTCCTCGAGGTTTTTCTCTTATTTTTGGAAATAAATAAAAATCGCAAGGTCGGTGCTATAGTGCGAGTGAGCCAGTAATTCCACGTCTGACATCGCAAAGTAGTCGATTGTTTGCTTGGTGGTATGCGTCGAGACGTTGTCGTGGTGAAGGAGGATCCTACTGCGAGGTCGTTTCTACCGCACTTTTTCCAAGACAAGTGGCAAACAATTGTTAGTGTACCACTCTGAACTCTGCAGTGACTGTTTTTCAATCCTCTAAAACAATTGTTGCGTAATGACCTGTCCTTCCAAAGAACGAGGCCACCATCTTTTTTCCACACTTCGACCTCTCTTCACTTTATTTGGCAACTCCTCAGAAGGAAACACCCAGACAGTAGACTGTCTCTTAGTTTCAGGATCATAACAATAAATCCAACTTTCGTCACCCGTAATTATGTCGCATACTGCATTTGAGTCACCTCCGATAAATCTTCGAACCATTTCATGACACCAATCAACACGACGGAGTTTTTGGGTCACTGTCAAATTATGAGGTATCCACCGGGCACAAAGCTTCCTAACCACTAAATGTTCATGGAGTATTTTGTGCACTTGACTCATATCGATGCGTAAGCTTGTACGAATCTGCTGATAAGTCACTCTTTTGTCAGTCTCTATCATACGCCATACGTATCAGATACTGATGTTATCTTCAGTCGTCGCCGTAGAAGGCCGTCCCTCACACAGATCATCGGTGAGATTAGTGCGACCACGTTTAAACTCATTAAACCAGTTGTAAACAGTGGCATGAGATGGGGCTTCATCGTGAAAGGCCAATCGAAGTCTATCATAACTTTCTTGTTAACTTAAATGACATCGTAATTCATAAAAAATCATTGTACAAAAATTTTCTCGCGTTAAATTCATGCTGATGTGACACAGACAATTTTCAATTTGCCGCCAAATCGTAAACAAATGACAAATTAATAAAATACATACACAATAATATTGGCAAAGAGTTCCATTTTCAAAATTTGAACTTTTTTTTTATTATATCGTTTACAAGTGGCCAGTTCTAAAAACTTTCAGTGTCGCCCTCGTATGTCGTGTCAAAGCAAGTTTGGTAGGATAGATCTATTGGATAGATCCTTAGAACGAAAGAAAAGGGGCCTCGCTGATGCAACTTCGCCCACGTTTACATTAGTCCACACTATGGTTCTGATTGTATTTTAAAAAAATGTCCCACTGGGTTTCTTGCTGATTCTTCCAAGGACAGGTTTTTTCCAACCAGTGGTAATTAAACAAAAGAGTGACTTTCAATAAGTATTATTTACAATCTATATTGAACAAAAAAGTTTCTGTTTCTGTATAATTATGAATAATACCCAAAAAGGCACGTATTCACAATGCTGTGTTAGTCCCTACTTTAATGTATGGTAGTGAAAGTTGGGTGTGGCAGAAGAAGCACGAGAGTCTAGTAAATGCTGTAGAAATGCGATCATTAAGGAGTATGTTAGGGATAAATCTAAATGACAGAGTGAGAAATTGTGTGATAAGAAAAGAGTGTGGCTTGCAAGATGATGTTGTGACCAGGATTAAGAAGGGAATGCTTCGGTGGTTTGGGCATGTAGAAAGAATGAATGAGGAAAGAGTGACAAAGCAAATTTATGTTGCAGAGGTGAACGGCAGAGTCGGGAAGGGACGCCCTAGGCGAAAGTTTATCGACCAAATTGGCGATATATTGAAAATGGGACAAATCAAGAGTACCTTTAACCGACGAGCGTGTATGCGTAGGTATATGGATGTGGAGGAAGCGAGAGAGGTGTGTCAGGATCGTGCCTAATGGAAGTCCATAGTCTCTGCCTACCCCTCTGGGTGACAGGCGTGAGTGTTTATGTATGTTATGTTTAATACGTGAGTCACGAACTCATCCGAACTACTCACGATAATCTACGAACACTAACTTTCGGCGCCGCCGAAGGTTCGGCAGATTTTTTGCCGAAACCGAAACTATTACCGAAACTAAAAGTTTTTGCCGAAACATGCCGAAACCGAATCTTCGGTCGGTCACTAATAATAACCCACCCTTATACAATATTTGCATATTAACATTTTTTTTAACTTTTTAATAGATAGATCCTACATATTTTCTACGACTGTTGTAAAAGTGTATAAATTACCCCATGAAGGAATTACTGACTCTTGATATAAGTAACCGATATTACTAGCTTGAGACTGTATGACATTATGCTTTAGAAATAATTTTAAAAAATTATCTAGCTTTTGCAACACTTCCAAGACTTAACATGCTAAAATAGCAAATGACCAGCAAAACATGTACCTATGGGGATGAAAAGGTCTGTAGAACAGTCCAGCAAGAACAATACAAAGTAACTAGATGAATTCAATCTTATATAACATGCAAAAGGACTGTATGCAGATATGTGGTATAGGATCATGTTTGTGGCTATCAATTGTAATTGTGCAGCCGTGGTAGCTCAGGTGCTTAGCACTCATTGTAAATTTCACAGTACGCGAGCAACCTGGGTTCATTCATTTCAATTTCATTGGTGCTGGCAGGGATTAACCCTGCCAGCACCAATGAAATTGTTAATTGCAATTTTAGCGCTAATTTACCACATACTCGGCAGTGAATGGCAACATTGTGAGGAAACCAGCAAAAATGTCTGAGAATTAAAAAAATATACATTTCGAAAACGTGGAGTCTGTTAACACACATTGTGCGGGGGATACTTCCTTGCCCTAAAACCCTTTCAGAAGTAAGAGGAATGATGTGCCTAGCAGTGGGATGTATATAGGCTGAACTTTATTTTACTAACTTTAAATAAAGTAGAATCTATCAAGCAGTTTTAATGAAATATTTAATAGAATAGCTATGTTGGTGTTTAAGGTGTTGGCTATATAATATATTGTACTTAATACATTCCATGTGCTGTGGTAGCGTAGGCTGGTTTTCAACTCAAATTACATTAGTACATATGCAAAACAGTTTGATCCTTAGTATTATTACTATATACATGTACTCCAGCACCTGTTAGCAAGGGAACCTACATATCATATTAATAAAATGAATACCAAGGACTTCTAAGAACATTTACACCCATAAAAATGGCCTGCAGGCAAGAGACATGTTCCTAGCAGTGGTATGTTTACAGATTATTACTTTAATCTCCAATTTTTTCTTCATATTAACATCAATCATTTTCATGATATATTTAATGAGAGAGGATGACAAATCTACTTTAATTATTTCTATATGTATGCAGATATTACCTCTCCAGGAAAAAAACAACAATGTTTCCTCTCAATATGTTTCCCAAATGTCATTTGCAGTAGACTCAGTCTCATATGCAATGTTTCAATGATATCTGACTCACAGGCCAAAGGATGGCTTCGACGGGCAGACTCCCTTCTAGGCATTTTAGCCTTTATTGATTGAAATCTATGCAACATCTGATTTTGTAAGCGTTGGAATGTCGAGTTCAATAAACTACTGCAAATTGTGTTGAACTGCCTGTTGACCTGTAGAAAATATATTAAAAAAATTAAAATAAGAAAACCTACATAAATAAAATGATAAAGGTTTGCAGTTGTGCGCATCACGGAAAATCTACTGGATATATTTCAATGAGGTTTTCTAAGTTTTATTTCTTAGACACTTGGCCCTTATCTAAAAAAATTATTGCAATATCTTCATTTAATATAGTTATTAAAGTTTTAAAAAACAACGATTTTTATAAGCACTACTTGTTCCGTGATGTGTGTAAGCAATGCGGACAAAGTTGCAGGTATCAGCTAATAGTAAATAAAAAGCAATAAATGATGAATATTTTATGTACAACTATGACAGTGAAAAATATAATATTATACGGGAGAAAGAATTAGACTCCACAAAATTGCATGAATTAATGATAGGCTGTATTAAAAATTGTTACATAAATTGGCAGTGATACATATTATATGGAAAATAATAACATATTGGGAAATTGTTAATGCAATTTAAATTTTCAATATTTGCAACTAAAACAGAATACATAAAATATAAAGTAAAATATTAACCATTCTTAGTTGTGATACGGTTTTGAATCCCAAATAGCGCAAAATCTTTTCTACAAGTTCCACTGGCAAATCAAGAAAATTCGTAGTAAATGTTTTAGGTGCCAGTACTAGTGTATTTTTAGAAGAACCGGCATGCGGAGAAGTGCCCCCCGGGAGCAAGGCGCTCGAGTGCCGTGTCACACGGGACACCGTCACCGGCTCTGCATGAGATGGGCCAGCACCATCGCCACTCCCATTATTGCTTCCAATACTACTCATCTGCCTCGTCGAAACCATATTGATCAGTTATTTTTCTATCACTTCTGAAAAAAAAACTTTCTCTTGTAGTCAACTTTACATTTCCATTAAATTATTTTAACATTTTGTGATAAAACAGAGTGATCATTGGTTAAGATAAGAGGTTAATACTGTAATCAATTAGGCTAAGTCACAAAGAATAATGTTTGAAATAACACAGCAAAAATATACTGCTTTTAATCGAAGTCGAACAATTCTAAAATGGTGGCCATGGCAGGCTAGGTCACTTGAGCATTCAAGTAGGTACCTACGATAATATGCATCACGATCCGATAAACTATTTTAACTGAAATAAATCACTCACTCAAGAGTTCATGCACATGGTTTATCTATTATTTAAAAAAATTATGCTATAATAATTTTTAGTAAAAAGACGCAATTTGCTTCTAGTAGCAGGCTTTGCTTTCACAAAAAATATACCTATATTTTTTTGTTTGTTGGTTGGATGGATTTGTACTTTGCTTTGTACTAGTGATGGGCCAGCTAGATTTACTAGTTCGAATTAACTCAAGTTGTGTTCACCTCAAACTAACTCGAGTCGGATAATTACTATTTCGAGTTCGGGCTGGAGGTAATTTCACGAAATATGCGAGCAAGCGAGAGCACAATTTGTTTATCATGTACACGGAGCAAACTCCGTGATTGTGCATATATTATATTGTACAATACCAATAAATTGTTAAAGGCGATACCCCGACTAAAACCTTGCGACATAGTGCGTTTTTCTTCGTTATTCAGAGACTATTATCTCATTTGTTATGAGAAATAAACTACATTTAAAAGCACATTATTAAGGTTCGATATCCTATCATCACATTACACGATCTAATTTGTTTTTATGTGATATAACTACATTTAAAATCTACTTTTAAAAAATGACTAAAATTATTGTTAATGCATCTGTTGCTAAAGTCAACGCTCTAATCATTTGAGGATTACACTAATAGATAGATAATTTAAAAATCTATATTATTCACGTTTTATTTAATTATTAAAGTTCGTTTTTTTTAAATCAAAATTAATTCCAAAAATTGTGTGAATTCTATGATAAATGGGCAGAGTGCATGCACATGTTTCTTTACTCGAGTTCAATTCAAGTTACTTGAATTTCAACTCGTGTTAACTCGAGTCAAGTCCCTTCCGGGTTGACACATCTCTAGTTTGTAGAGAAAACACTGTTGCCAGACATTATTTTTACTTTACCGCATATTTGGTCTCGATTTACCCCGCTTTCAGTATTATTTAAAAATTCCCGACAAAGTCAGTAAATAGCTTACTTTAGCTTTAGTTTACTAATAATTAATAAAACAACTTTAAGTTGCCTTTCTTATATACGAGTATGCGGCTCACCTGATAATAAGTGACTACTGCTGCATATGAACAACTGTAACCTCAGCTGTAAAATCGCTGATGGTTGTCGGTTATGCAGATGAAAGCTACTGGTTTGCAACACATATCGTAGATACGCAAAAACATTAGGGTAGGCGAAAGCACGCAGCCTTGTGTAACACCAGCATTCACAACTGAGGGCTTACGCCATTGACTACGACGTTAATGCTCCAATATGAGAGAAAACTAGTGCTCCAATTGCACTGGCAAGTCCATAAGAAGGATGCTTCTAAAAAGCGCTTTGTGTAAAACCGATAAAAATGCGTTCGCCATGGCCAAATTAACCGCCAAGGCAATGTGTTAGGTAAACAAGAAGATCGCCAACTGTGTGACCCCGACAGAAACCGTACTGGCGGTCACTAATCAGCTGGTGCTCCTCAACGTAACGCAAGGTACAGCTGGCACTTAATAATAGATTCCACTAATTTCAAGATCAAGGAGATGATGGCGATAGGCCTGTAATTGGATGGATCAGGGCGGTTACCTTTTTTCGGGATCAGGTACACAAAAGTTATCTTCCATGAGTTAGGGACTACGCCTAGGGAGTAGGAGTACCGGAAAAGACGCGTTAGAACTGGTTCCAACACTGAAGCACACTTCCTCAGCACAATACGACATGACTGGTTTCGTGGTAGCGGTTATTGTTAATTTTACAGCAAACGGCTGCGTACATCAGGTGGTGATTGGCCGCATGTTTTATCGCATGATGTAGTCGCTCGCTTCTTAAGTGGGAAGTGGTTGCGTCAACGAGTTGTATAAATAGCAGCTGTTCTGTCTCGCCTTACTGAGCGGTCAGCCACGCAAAGTCTATTTTACCTAAGGATGCCTCGTTTGGAGGCGAAACACGTGTTGTATTACCGACAGTGGTGTGTCTTTTCTAGTGTAGTGATGTTGGTATTAGTGCTGACGGGGAAAGTGTACGCAATTAAGGGAGGGTGGGAGGTCCTTTTTAAAGTAGGTAAGATACATCATTTTATTTTATCATGCGGATCTTAGCTAATTAATTTTAACATCGTTAGGATAAATATAGCTTAGATCCCTCATAGCATTGCTCTCTATCTGTTTATCACAATCGATTCAGCCATTCTGAAGCTTAGCCCGGAAAGACAGGCAGTCAGATAGACAGTTTTTTTTTGTAAATTAAAGTTTATTTATTATTTATGCCTTAACAGCATGCAAATAACTCTGAGCCCTGAGCGAAATAGAAGTCAGCCATTTCAATATTACAGACAGACACTTCAATTTATTTTTATATGGTATTGAAATTTAAGTTTCTGTCTACAATATTAAAATAAGGGGCTCCTAATAATTTTAAACAGTTTTTATTATGTACGTGTCCTGACCACAGACTAATATGATGCTTATGCATGATCCTATCCTATCCTACGAATATACTGGCGTAAAGACGACCTGACATATAATTTTGATTTGTCATTGTGTGCGTTAGCTAGTGATGTACATTTTGCTTACAAGGACTATCGAAAAATGATTATTAAAGAAACGGTAAAAGGATTAAAAAAATTTGTTTAGTGCACGAAATTGAATAATTTCAAAAATTCAGAGAATTTTCGGATTTTAATTCAAATGTGACCAAGAATCAGATCGGAAAGTTGTATTTTCGATCTATGATCTTTGGAGAAAAATATTTACTGACTAGGACAGTTTCCCCGGAATTTTATCATATTGTTAATATAAATAGGTAGATACTTAACTAAGTATTTACCTATTTATATTTTATGAAATGTTTTGATGGGGAAATAAAAACGGGGACACGGAGTACATAATAGCTGCTCTATTTTTCATATAAGTATCACTTTTGATAATTGCAAACATTTAATAATTAATAATTGATTATTAAATGTTTGAAATTATCATTATAGAAGTTTATTTTAACATTCGACTTAAATATGAATGTAAACTTAATAATTTAAGTAAGGAAACTTGTAGGAATCAGTTAAATAAGATTGCTCTATTTAAAAGCCAATATGTTTATGAGGCTTTATCATGCTTTGTGTTTATATTCTTTCACCTGTCCCAGAAAAGTATAAAGTAATAATGAACTTATTATCATTTTAGCTGCATGAATTTTAAAAACATAATGATCTTAACATAGTAAAGTGCACTTTAAGAAAATAGTCACTCAGTCATGGACTGACTGCGGCAAGTGCAACTTAATCTGGTAGATCTATTGATCCGCGCAGCGATTACTTAACTCATAGCTCACATACGCAAGAGAAAGTGGCAGATTGTTCAATTTACCGAAGCATATGTGGTCTTCGGTGCAAAAGCCTTTTTAGAGACTGGCTTTTTTGGGAGGCTGGAAGTCGTCGAGTCTGCGTGCGAGCCGATTCGTAATGACTCTCGAAAACAGCAAGTAGACGCGGCTTAAAAGAAAAATCGGTCTGGAGTTCTTCATGAGAACGATGTCGTCTTTCTAGAAGAACAAGACCACTGCACTTCTACTTCACGCCTCCGAAGTAGTGCCATCATGGAGGATGGAGTATTAAGAAGCTTTTGAAGGACTTCAAGCACGATTTTCCCCTCGCAATCACTGGGTTTTGGAGAAATGCATGGCTCTAGATATATCCTCATACATTTCATCCACCTCCTCGTCGGAATGTGTCGAGGTTGGTGCGTAAGCCTATATGACCTTCAGCGAATACCATTTGGTGATTATGGGTATAAAGTACGAGACCCTCGTCGACACACTCCTAATCTTTTCAATGTTATTAAATAGAGACTTGTGGACAATAAATACGACACCTTCTTGTGATAGATGGTGACCCTCCCAGTGATAGAACAAATTGCCGGATTCGACGATTACCATGTCCCCCCCCCTTCATCGGACCTCAGATAAACCTATAATATCACAGCGCAACTTGTCTAAATCTCGTTCCAGCTCCAGGATCTGCTTGCCAGTAATCAGGGTAAGTGCGTTATATGTTGCTAGGTCGAGTCGTCGTAGGTGGCAACTGAACCTCCTCTTGAGAATCTTAGCACCCCCTGCCGCGCCGTTACCATGGTCGTCACCGTAGCCAGTGACAGTGGGGCCGCCGGACACTGAGGGCCGTCTTTCACCGTAACTCTCGCCATGGGCGAGTATAGTTACATATTTATCACTTTTGACGTGCAAGTTGGCAACTGCAGTATTTTTATTGTTATTTATCTGTTATTAGAGAGACGCTGCTGCCCATCATCTGCCTTAGTTTCCCTCCGTCTCCCGTTTCCCCATACGACACCCACGGGAAGTAGGTGGGGTAGTAGATATTCTTACCCGCCACTACACGGGGGTAAAATTTAAGATAAAATATTCTATTACATTATCAAAATTTACTTTCTTGACCTTTACGATAGATATTCCATTTTATGTCGCAACTAACATTCGTAATTTCGTACGGAATGCGCTCGGTGTCAGTGCTGCCAATTTACCATTTTTTTGGCTAAAGGAGACGGTCCAAAATTGTATGAAGCGTAGGCCTAATTTAGTACTAGTATAGAAATAAATAAAATAAAATCATATCACCTATAGCCTATCAGGTAGATTTATTATGTAAAATAGCTAAAATGTCTCGAAAATAGTAGGAAAGTGG